AAAAAAAAAAAAATAAAATAAAAAAAAATTACAACTTTAATTTCCCCCATTGACTTACTTTTGGTGGTGAACACTGTATAACAAGGTCAACCTCAGGAATATCCAAACCACGGGCAGCTACATTTGTTGCAATCAGAACTTCAAATACACCATTTCTAAAGCCTTTTAACGTAATTTCTCTCTGTTTCTGTGGAATGTCACCATGCAACGACTGGGCATCCTGTCAGTGAAAGAAACCATTAATGTGTCATTTAACAGGGGAGTCCAGGCTGCAGTATCTAAAGATATTTAATAACAAAGCCCAAAATAGTTTGCAAAGCAATGGAAAGTAATTACACAGCTGATACCAAAGGAATATAAAGCATCCTACTTTGTGGTTTGATCCTTCTCTGGGACACTAATACTCATGAGCAGTAGTTTTACTGTAATTTGTTGTTATTTGTACCATACTAACAACAAGCTGTACAATTTGCTGTCTGCCACACCAAAAGGGCCCACCTTCAGCTTTGACTTCCACTGGAGCAAATAGAAGCAACTTTACTTAAGCATTGCTTTGTCAAGAGCTAACAAGAAACTGCTCCCTTCCCTGGGAAGCTATCCTAAAACCCACAGAAGCTGAAGGGAGGTTTTCAGGGAATTTCCAAACCCTACAGGTGATCTGAACACTTTTCATGGGACAAGTAACAGATCAAATGTTTGACAAGGAGAAAGGGGAGTCACAAGCTCAAACAAGTAACATGCAAGAGTTGGAGATACAAGCATAAGAGAAAAACGTGTCACACAGCTACACAAAAACAAAGTCATTGGATTTACTGTGAAAGCAGCAGGGTCAACAGACAAAAATTGTTGCTGTGAGATTTTAATGTGGATGGTATATGACTTCTCAATTACTGAGCAAACCATGTATTCCCACTACCACTCTTTCTTCATAAATTAGTATTTGATATCAAACAGGGTCTTCTCAGAAAAAAAACCCCAGAATCTTTCCCCACACTCAAGAAACTGCCAATAATTCAAGCAAGCATAGCAAGCCTGCTCAATATATCACTTGAGTTCTGAACAAACTATTAAGTGACCTTCCAAGGGCAACAAGACATTCCATTCTACCATATTCACTGGATTTTCCTGGATATGGACTGTTCAAAGAATAAATGCTACTAAGAGATGGGAATCCCACAAGCACACTAACATGAGATGGAATATGCACTACGCCAGCTCTTGTTTATTACCATTATTACTATCTCCTGCCACCATTACTAACTTCTGCAGGTTATTTCAGTGTAAGCTGCATATTTTCCATTGATCCTGTCCTGCATGATTTTTCAGCTAAAGGACTAAATCCGTAATCACAGCTAAGAAGATATTTCTACTGCAAAGCTCTACTTTTAGAAACAGCCTTCATGAGTCTTAAAACCACCCACAGAAACAACTTCACCCACACAGTTGCAACCTCCCATTTATTTCAGGGCATTCCACCTCTGAATATCCACCACCTCCGCTCTCCACTCAGCCCCCAGTACCTGTTTGAGCGAAGCATTCATAGCCAGTTCATTCGCTTCCTTCTTGGTCTCACAGAAGACAATGGTCCTCCCGTGGCTGCCACTGTAGACTTGAATGATATCCCCAAGAACTCCTGCTCTCTGAGACGAGCGACACTGTATGGCCAAGTGCTGTTTGGGAAAGAAACACGATAAGCACCTATGTTAAATCTAACTCACACACAGGACAGAAAAAACAAACACAGAAATAATTTATTATTTCTTTTCAGCTTGCAAATTACTGTCCCTGTATGAAATCTTTGCTTAAAAAAATCTGTGTGTCAATCACATGAAAACACATTTCACCCCCCAATTCGTGAAGTCAACACAGAACCCACTTCATCCAGGCGACAGGCTCTCAGGACCTGCCCTGCCCTGCAGAATAATCACTCACTTCCACAGTCGTGGCAGTCCTTTGGGTCTTCTTTCCAATCAGGTCAATCTGTTCATATTCATCTTTCATGTATTTTTTTGCTACGTCATACACCCATCGTGGACAAGTTGCAGAAAACAGCAGCGTCTGGGGGTTGTTCTCAGAACCTGGAAGGAAAAGCCACCAATTTCAGTCATCACAACAGGCTCT